AGGGCTCATGAGGGAGGGAGGAGGGGGAGGGAGGGGAAAAAATGAGGACCTGATGCTGGGGGCTTAAGTGGAGAGCAAATGATGAGAATGACGAGGGCAATGAATGTACAAATGTGCTTTACACAATTGATGTATGTATGGATTGTGATAAGAGTCATACGAGCCCCTAATAAAATGATTAAAAATGATTAAAAAATAAATAAATAAAAATTTTAAAAAATAAAAGTAAAGTGAGTTGTGGAATCACAATCAGTTCTAGTGCTCCCCCAACCCTGACTGTAACTCTTGATGAGAGTGGAAAGTCTCATCTTGCTCCTGCAAAGAGACTGGTGGTTTCAAACTGCCAGCCTGGCAATTAGCAGCCCGATGCATAACCACTCTGGCACCAGGGTGAACTTGAAGAACTTGCTCATGAAGATCAAGGATTGCAGCCTTCAGAAGGGACCACAATTCAATGTAAAGACGACCAAAATCCTCACAACTGGACTACTGTGTAACAAACATCGTGATCAATGGAGAAAAGAATGACGTTGCCAAGGATTTTGTCTCGCTTGGCTCCACAAACAATGCTCATGGAAGCAACAGACAAGAGATCAAAAGACGCATTGCATTGGGTAACTCTGCTGCACCAGACCTCTTTAGCGTGTTGAAAGCAAGGAGGTTCCTTTGAGGCCTAAGGTGCGCCCGACCCGAGCCATGGTGTTTCCAATGGCCTCCCTCTGCTGCATGGGAAAGCTGGACACTTAGTAGCAAGACCAAAGAAGAAAGGATGCTTTTAAACTGTGGTGCTGGCAAAGGATATCGAAAGTGCCATGGCCTGCTAAAGGGACACACAGATCTATTTTGGAAGCAGTACAACCAGAATGCTCCTTAGGGCCAAGGATGGCGAGACTTTGTCTCATGGGATCACAGAGACCAGTCCCTGGAAAAGGACATCGTGCTTGATAAAGTGGAGGGGCATTGCAAAGGACGAAGACCTCCGGGGGAAGGTCAAGATGAATTGACACTGGCTGCAACAACAGGCTCAGAGAGAAGACCGTGGTGAGGCTAGCACAGGACAGGGTGATGTTTCCTTGTGATACTTACAGTCCATGTGCGTCAAAATCTACCTGACGGCACCTAACAACAATTAGGGTTCCCTACATGCACAGGTTCATTCCAAAGGAAACACGTTTAAACACTTCACTGTGGTTCGTGGGTGTCTTCAGGGAAGTTCTCTTAGCAATACACCTGTCTTCGTCTGATGAGGGTGCCTTCAAAAAAGGTCCAGTCAAAACCAAGGGCATCTTCTACGTGAGTGACGTTCAAGCCAGAGCTGTCAGCTCAGAGGGTGATGGCAACTGTTCAGAGTGGGGGTCTGGGGAGGGTATTCCAAAGGGGCCATCTGATATATTTTCTCAAAGGACACGGGACAATCACAGGGTCTTATTATGAAGAAATTTTAAGAAAATGGAAACTTGCAAGGTCAAGAAAAAAGCTGAATAATTTGTTCCCCCTCATCAGGACAATGCACCTGCTTATTCTTCAAGGGTAGCAAGAGTTAGCCTACTAACATTTCATTGAAAACCTTACCGCGTCCACCCTAGGGCCCTAATCTTGTCCTTCCAAAGGGCAGAGAGACCGTAACTGGATGAGTACGTTCTTAAGGTTAAGGACAGGGAGGTTGCAGAGAAATGGGGAGATAACAAAAGGGGGAACAAGAAGGAAAAATAAAACGTTCTAAAATTGATTGTGGTGATGATTGCCCAACTTTTTAACATATTTAAACCGTTGAATTATATATTACGTGATTACATGTCAATAAAACTTTTTTTTTAAGGCAAGAAAGAAAGAAGGCACTGCCTAAGAGATAGGCCTAATTATGCCCACATTAGAAATGGAACCAGGGCTTGGAGAACATAAGTCATTCCCCAAGGTCACAACACAATGCGGACTTGAACTCCAGCTGGGGGAGATGGGGGGCAGGGCACAATCCACTGAAAGTCTGCATGATGCTATCACCTTAAGTACTTGCTATTAGCGTTGTTAGTGACTCAAAAGCAATTCCGTTTTCTTTCCACTCAGGGCGGGATGTGTGACTCTTGTAACAGAGGGCAAAGCTAGCCTTGCTTAGTCACAGGGGCACAACGCAGACAGCTTACCTGCTCTGCATAGCTATTGATGATGACCAGGTGAGAATAGTTCTCCAGGCAGAACTTCCGGGCTCCCTCCCATGACTTGGTGCTTAGGGAGAAGTAGTAACACTTGTCCTCAAAGGAGAGCCAGCCTTTCGGGCAGGTGATCTTGCTATAATCTGGGGATAGGATCGGATTTTGTCACGTTGGCCTCCGAGCCAGGGCTGTGGCCATGGCTTGCCCTGTGCAGCCGTCCGCAATGTGCATAGTTCAACTCCAGAGTGCACGATGCACAGAGAAGACCCTGAACATGGCCCTCATGGAGTTTAGGCACTGTGCGAATTCTACCGTGTCCCTTTCTAGGCAGTTACCCAAGTTTCACTCACCTAATAAGCCCCGAAGTTCCACCAGGGACTGGTCAGTGTCAGCTTTGATGCGCTCAATGTCCTTCTTCAGGCCAGCTAGCCCTGCCATGCCAGTCACTGTCACCAGAGATGGGCTTGAGGATTAGAGACCCAGAGCCCTCACCTGCCCACCCACCTACAGCTGACATCAGATACATCGGAGAGAAAGAAGCAAGAGCTCCTGCCCCACCCGTGTCCGACAGGGTGGCATTAAAACTCAAAAAACAAAACAAGCCAATAAGAGCCCATGCTCAGTGCCCAGAGGGGACGCTAGGGGAGCTCAGAAAACAGCATAATCCATGGGACTTGCAAGACTAAGTGGAGTGGCTTCCTGGAAGACGTGGGCTTTGAAGAACAGTGATTCGGTAACTGTGAGAAGAAAAGTCAAGGTGCAGAGTACAGGGTGCAGAGACAAGTGGCTGGGGGAAGGCAAACGCAGCAGAGATGGAGGGGAAGGCCAAGCAAGCTTGAGCTCAAAGGAAGGTGAGGTCAGATGGCTGGGTCCTTGAAGGCCAAGCCATATGTTTCTCGTTGGACTCTGGGCACTGAGGAGTCCTGGATGGGTTTGCACAAGAGGTATGGGTTCGGGCAAGTGGAGAGGAGTCATGTCCAAGCTTCACTAGTCATAGTGAACTCCAGTCCAACTGAGAAGACAACTAATGTGTGGCCTTCCCTCACACACTTAACCCTCCTCCAGCATTCCCTACCCCATGGGGGAAGTGAAGCGGGGGTGTCCCTCCATCACCCAGTACAGAAGCAAAAGTTATCCTTGATGCCCCTCTCTCTCGCACCATATCACTCCCAGTCCACTCTCAAAGCCTGTCAAATCTACCTCCTAAATTTCTCTCTCTTCCACCCACTTCTCTCCATTCCCTGGCCACCCCCTTTACCCAAACCACTGCCATCCCTCCCTTATCCCACTCCCTTGTCTTTGTCAGGCTGCCTCCTGCCACAGGGCCTTTGCACATGCCTAAGACCCTCCACTACTCACAAGGTTAAGTCCTCCCTCAGCTGCATCACTTCTAAGGAAACGCTCTATGGCCCCTCAAGAGAAGGGAGAGAACTTCTGCACAGAACCAAGTTTGGAAGGATTAATACATCTCTCTTCGGGCCAGTCACCAAAATTTGGAATTTCATACCCATTAGAGTGATGATTTGATGGATGGTTATCGATCCATACCAGCACTGTCTAATATAATAATGATGTGAACTCTATAGACATAATTTTTATAACCATGTTTTTAAAGTTTAAAAAAACGATGAAATTAATTTGAAAGCGATTTTTTACTTAACCACTGTATTCAAATTGTATCTTTTCACTCTGTAAATAAATGCGATACATGAAAATTGTGCGCACTTTGTCCGAGTCCGTCTTTGGACATCCGTGTGCATGTTCTACTTACATCTCCACTCAAACTAGCCACCTTCCAAGCGCTCAATAGCCACACGTGGCTCGCGGCAATCATATTAAACAAAGCGCATGCACGCACACACTGCACATGGGCACAAGGAAAAAGGTTGTTTCCCTGTATTCCCCATCCTACCCCCAGCACCTAACACACACACAGTAAGTGCTCCACACGGACGGCCGGACAGAATGACTGGAACCACTCACCGTTTGCTTGCCAGCTCATCTGCTGAAAGGTTAGCATCCTCAGTTCTTCTACCACTGCCTGGTCTATCAGAAGTCCAATGTCAACCCGGGTCATCTCTCATCCTACACCCATCTCCCACACCCCATCCTGGCCCCACTCACACTTGACCAGGGTCACAGCCAGGCTGATACACGCCAGGAGCAGGGAGACCACCAGCAGCATAGAAAGGCACACCAGGAGTCTGTCCTCCAAGCAGCGCTCCAGGGCTCCCGGCTTCTTGTTGATCCAGGGCACTGAAGTGACTGTGGAGGGGCAGAGAGCAGTGCTTTGAAGAGTCAGGAAGAGACCCTTGAACTTGTCTCCAAGAGGAGGCCCCGGAGCTGTGGAGTCATAACTGTGTCGCCAGCCCGAGCCTCTCAGGGAGAACAAATGTCAAAAGGCCCTGAACGCTCATGGACGTTTACTGTACACAAAGCATGGCACAGCAGCCTTATCATCTTTTGGGTGATGATACTCAGGACATGGGTGAAAGCATTATTACCGTTTTTCACACGTAAGACACATGATTGGCTAACAAATGATAGTATGAAACAGAAGCACATAAATTGAAGTGACATAAGGAGAGAAAGATGTAGACACAAATCCAATTTTCAATGATTACAATATATAAAAATGATCTAATTCATTAGCATCCAAGAGGTTGGCCAATTGGTTTGGTTTGGTTTGTTTGTTTGTTTGTTTGTTTGAAGACCATGACACAAAGAGTGGGGAAAGAGAAACGGTCAGTCCCCTCCCATGCTGTTCCCTGCCCAAAGCAATCAATGGCTCTTGCATCCGGGCATCAAATGGTACCCATATCTTCTTCGAGCGGGAGGTTGAGCCTGAAGAGTACCAGACAGACCCTAGTGTTGTACATGTCTCATCTCTTCCAAGCCCCGAGTCCTTGCGTTCTGACCTAGACTCGGTGGGGAGCAGCTTTTGAAAGGGGGAAAAAAATTCCTGCTGGCCCCCTGTCTCACCCTAGGAGCCACAGGTGTGAATCAAGTGCTCTGTCTAATGACAGAAGAGACGAGGTGCACTGAGAGAAGAACTTACTGACAGGGAGTGGCTGCGATGGAGAAGATTCCAGTTCAGTCCCTGGAGAAAAGAAACGTAGAGAGGTTTATGTAAATGTTGCAAAAGGCTCTATCGTCCAAAGGTCTCTCTCGCTCTGTCTCATCTTTGTTTGCGGGTCAGAATGGGGGAACGGAGGAGGGATGGGAATGGACTGTGACCCCTTCCAGGTGGCCCCCTCAGACTCCTCAGAGCTTCTTTCCACTACTCACCCAGCTGAAGAGCTGTGCAGGAGACAGGCCTGAGATCTAGCCCTAGAAGGGGTTAGAAATAGAATGGCATGAAGAGCAGGTCTGAGGCCAGGTGTATTAGTCTGGGTACTTTGGAGAAACAAATCCACAGCGACTCACGTACAAGAGAGAGTTTTATGTAAAGAAAATGTGCATCACGAAAACATCCCAACCCAATGCTGCCCAAGCCCACAAGTCCAACATTAACCCATGAACCCAACACCAGTCCACAAAGTCCTCCACCTCACAAAACAGAGACAATGATGCCGACTGCAGGAGGAAAGCTGAGTCAGTGAACGAGTAAGCATCTCAGCACTAGCAGGGGTCTCCACACGGCTGCTCCAGCACCCAGGGCTGCATCAGGGTAGATCCATGCGGCTTCTCCTTGGGGATGTCTTGTAGGAAGTCAATCTTGCAAGCTGAAGCAGGGAACTGCTAAGGCAGCTGCACCCGGTGCAACCATCACAAAACAAGAGACCCAAGAACTAGAAAGGCGAGGCTCACCACCCATTTATCCCTCCGCCTTTCAATTAGCCCCACATGTGATTATCGGCCAGCCTGGCACAATTAACTAACTCACCAGGTGAGCCAGAACATCCTGACCCTAACTCTCACCTGCCATCTCCTGGGACTTGCAGGAAAGTGAGGAGTTCTTCATTTTCTTTCCTGAAGAGGGAGGAATGGTTGCTCAGCCACAGCTGAGCAAAGTCAGTACTGGGCCGCGTGTGCCCACCCCAGCCCCAGCTCACCTGCCCGTGGAGGCCGTGGTGGAGCCACGGAACCTGGAGAAGAGAAGCTCAAGGTTAAGATTGAAATGGGACTAGGGGGGGATACAGGGTCAGGCAGCATGACTAGCTGTCCTGGGACTTTGCTGGGTTTTCTGCTTTCCAAGAGATAAACAGAAGAAGAACGAAGTCTGGGGGGAGAGAAAAGGTCTGTTAGAATGTTTTTTTAAAAAAAATTTTTTTTTCTCCACATGAAGGGATAGGGTCTTGGTTACCTGGACTTTCCAATGTTCTCTAACGAGCTCTGCTACCTGTACCACTGACCGTTTTAAAGATACCACTTATTAAAATAAATAACTATTCCACTTGTTTGTGAAATAATTTCTTTTAGAATGGGTATTGGTACTATATGACATTGAGAGGTTCACAAACAATACAAGATTAGCTCCTGCATAAGGCTCGAGATGAGAAGGGGGGTGGGGGGGAGTTGCTGACGCCAAAGACTGATGTAGAAAGAAAATGGTTGGGAAGTAATGATGGCAACATATGCACAAAGGTGCCTGATACAATGGATGTGTGGATTGTTGTAAGAGCTCCCAATAAAACGATTCATTACAATAAAAAAATAGAAATAAAATCATTTTTTTAAAGACCCAGAGAACCTTAACTGAGCAGTGGCCTGAGCAACTGGCTTCGAGGTAACATGCATTAGAGTCCATTAACAAGGACAAAGGCAACCCCCGCGACGCTGTTTTTCCCAGGTCGCTCTTCTGCATCCTTGCATGTAAGCATTAAGCATATAAAACCCCACCCCACAGCTGTATGCTGACCTCTCCCTCGGTGACTTAGTGTGCCCCTGCCGTCATGGGAATCTCAGCACCAGCCTCTGTCTCTAAGCTCCCTAATCAAAGCTGGAACGGATCCATCTGGCTACTTTCACCTCTCTTTTGAGAGGGCACAGTGGAGGATCCTACCCTACCCGTCCCCCTCAGAGCCACCCCTGCCACTGTCCCAAAGGGTTACCACAGGCATGCACATCCCTGCAGAATTTTCATTGTGTTGCTAATAAGATTGGGTAGACCATTCCTACTAATGACCCCAAATTTTACTTTTGAGGTCTTGAAAAGTGTCTTCCTTGTAGAATTTTCATGTCTAGCACTCTTACCACACTGGCACGCAGACATAGCCTTTTGTTTTTCCTGTTTAATCAATCAGTAAGTGATTTTTCTCCTTCTGAATCGAAGATTTATTTTTGAAGCTATCTACTCAATATCTCAATATTAAATAAAATGTCGTCTAAAATTGAGCTGGTAATTTGAACTCTCAAATATAGTTATTCCTACACCAATATCTTTGTCATCATCAAAGGCATGGACTTGTAAGTTAATAAGTGATTTTCGTAATATAAAATTCTGCATCCCAGGAAACCCCTCAGTTCTGAGAACACTGGGAATGCTGGTCACTCTAAATTAAAGACAGTTGGGTTGGGGGGCGGAATTGGAATGGTGATGGGAATAAAAATGGGGTGCAGAATGGAGTTGGAGTTGGAGTTGGGATGGGAATAGGGAGGGGTTGAAAGTATGATGGAGATGTGGGTAGGGTGTGAGACAGAATGTAGTCAGAATGAAGAATGGAATCATCGCTGAGTTTGGGAAGGAAGGAAAAGAACTGAGTTCAGTCGTAGTTGAGATGGGGGTAGTAAGGGGAGTTGGGTTTGGGAATGGAGATGGGCATAAGGCTGCATTTGGGATGGAGAGGGCCCTGAACGTGGGAAGGTGACCCTGACGTTGGAGATGGGGTTGGTCTTGGATTCAGTTTGAGGAGGATGTGGGGGATAGGGTTGGAGGTAGACACAAAGCAAACAGCAGAAGGCAGTTCATCTCTTACTTCATGATAACCCCCTAACACAGTAGTTCTCAACCTTCCTAATGCCATGAAACCCTTTCATACAGTTCCTCATGTGGTGGTAACACCCCTCCCACCCACACTCATCCCCCCCCTACCCCACCGGACCCCCCCACCAACCATAAAGTTGTTTTCGTTTCTACTTCATCACTGTCATTTTGCTACTGTTATGAATCAGGCGATCCCTGTGAAAGGGGCCACGGCCCACAGGTTGAGAACTGCTGCCCTAACAGTTCTGGAGTCTCTCAGATGGCCCCACTCTGGACTCAGAGATGGGAGACACCACATAGGACAGCCACTCTCCAGGGGAGCTGCCTGAATGGCTGGGCCCCGGGCATCTCATGGCTTCAGGAGTCCTGGTGAGAGCTGACGCGGAACATTCTTCCAAACTTACATTTTTTTCAAACCGTTTTATTGATACTTCATCCACATGTCATACAGCTCCAGTGCGTTCATGTCAAGAAGAGTGGTACATATGACCACCGTCAGTTCTAGAACATTTTCTTCTTCCTTGTACTCCTCATTATGCATGACGTTTTTTTCAATTGTGGCAAAAATAGACACAACAAAACACCCTCTAATTCAACTACGTCTACATGCATGGTTCTCTTCTTCATGTTGTGCAAACATGACTGATATGCCTCTCCAGATTGTTCCACCACCGTCAACATAAACTCAATGCACCCTAAGCAAAAACTCTTCCTCCTTCACGCACGGTTATCACTGGTCAAGTTTGGTTTCTTTTTAAGTACTTGCCTTGATAGAATGCTCACATGTCATGTACTTCCATAGGTAAATCACTTTTTTAAAAAAAAGTTGTAGATACAGCATCACCATCGGTTCTAATGTTCCCTGAAAAGTTACACTTTTCTGTCTACTCGGCAGACGTCATGAGTTCTAGGCCAGGCCTTTAACGTGAATGCACTGAGCAAACAGCACACTCACAGTTCCTCAAACACGTCAACTTTTCATGCCTCAGGGCCTTCACAACAGGTGTCCTCCTCGGCTTGTCTTTCTAACTCACCCTGCCTGTTTCTGCTCCTCCTTCCAGTTCCACTCCAATGCCCCCCCCCTCACCAAAGCCTCGCCTGGCCCCCAAACCTCTACCACTCCAGGCAAAGCCCTGAGTGTCCCTTTGAAATTCCCCTACCCCTTGATCCCTTCCATCTTGGCCCTTTTCATCCAAGGCTGTGCCCAGAACCTCCTCCCCAATCAGAATGGGTGAAGGATCCAGACAAGGATGCTCTTGACACTGAAGTGGCTAGCATGGGCTGGAAACATGGAAAACTAGCTGCAGGCACAATCCCCAGCCATGGCCCCTAAAGATCCTATTCTCCAAGCCTCCAGCCCGACTTTCTTCCACCTGGCGTCACGGAAGCCCTCTTACCTGGCTTCGGAGGAAGGTCTTTGTAGGGTGGTGTCATGTTCTCATAGTCATCCTCCTCCTCCTCTTTCGATCCTTCCAGGAGAGAAGTAAGTCAGGGTATAGCCCCTTCCCTAGCCCATCCCTGAGGTCCTGACCTGCCACCCAGCTATACCACAGTGAGGCTGCTGTAGCCTGGATCCTGACCACCACCCAGCAACACCCCCATGTCTGATCAAGGTTATACCTGACATGCCTGAGAATCCAGCGTTAGTGTACACCGTGCACATGGCTGAAGCCAATAAAGAGAGCCTGAGAAGAGATTGCAAGAGTTTGACAGCGTCTACCGCTACCCCTCCTCCTGCAATGTCTGGAGCCTCTCTCAATTCCCTTTTCTTATAAAAGACATGCAAATACAACCTGAAGGGAAACTCCCACCAGTCTCACCCACCCACACACACTTGCCTCTTCCCCGGGTTGTATTTCTATATCGCCAATCAAGTGCCAAGTGAAACAGATGGATAAACTCCTTTACCCATGGAAGTCTCCATTTAACCAAGAGAGACAATAAGCAAGTAGAGATACACACAAAGAACAAAATAGCTTCTGATAATCACAGAGCATGATAAAACATAAAGCAGGGCAATAGCATAGGATGAAGACTAGTGTCGAAAAGATGATCAGTAGGGCCTCCGGAGAGCAGTGACATTTGTAATAAGATGTTAAGTGCTAAGTACACCTACATTCCAGAGAGAAGTTCTAGATATCGGATCAGTTATCTATCTAGTAGTGACCTGAAACTGGTTGTACATCCTTCATAGGCCACACCAGGACTCCATGTGAAAACCCCACTAAGAGAACTGGGCTCTACCTCAAATTCACCTGTTTGGACTTACAGTGGAAACTTCATAGTGTGAGAAGAGGCAGATGCGTGCTATCCCAAAGGTATACAATTGGCAGTCAATCGACTTTGGTTCAGATCTCTTGTCTTGAGGGTACCTTGTTAGTCTAGGTTGACTAGAAAAACAAATCCAGAGACACTCATATGTGTGTAAGAGTGAACTATATCAAAGAGCAATTGTACAGCAAGAAAACATCCCAGCCCAGTCCAGATCAAGTGGATAAGTCCGGTATTAGCCCATATGTCAATACTAGTCCATAAATTCCTCTTTAGACTCACACAGTCATGCAATGATGGTGAATGCAGGAAGATCACAGGCCAGTGGGTGGAAACTCCTGTGGTTCCAGCGGTGGTGGAAGCATCTCAGCGTTGGCGTGGGTCTCTGAGTTAGTTAATTGTGCCAGCCTGGCCGATAATCACATGTGGGTCTGGTTGAAAGGCAGAGGGATAAATGGGTGGTGAAGCCTCGCCTTTCTAGTTCTCGGGTCTCTTGTTTTGTGATGGTTGCATCGGGTGCAGCTGCCTTAGCAGTTCCCTGCTTCAGCTTGCAAGATGGATTTCCTACAAGTCATCCCCAAGGAGAAGCCACATGGATCTATCCCGATGCAGCCCTGGGTGCTGGAGCAGCCATGTGGAGACCCCTGCCAGTGCTGAGATGCTTACACGTTCACTGACTCAGCTTTCCTCCTGCAGTTGGCATCATTGTCTCTGTTTTGTGAGGTGGAGGACTTTGTGGACTGGTGTTGGGTATGGGTTAATGTTGGACTTGTGGGCTTGGGCAGCATTGGGTTCGGATGTTTTCGTGATGCACATTTTCTTTGCATAAAACTCTCTCTTATACGTGAGTTGCTGTGGATTTGTTTCTCCAAAGTACCTAGACTAATACAGTCTCCATGTGGCTCCTCCAGTTCCAGGGCTCTAGCTGCATCAGTGTAGCTCCATGTGGCTTGTCAGCAGGAAGATGAAGCAGCGAGAGTCCCAGCCTCCAGGGAGGAAGACAGGAGTTCCCAGAATCCTCAGGAGAAGGCCATGACCACACAGAGGCCTCATTGGCTATGACCTGATTGACAGGCTAGAATCTACCCCTTGGCAAGTTGACAGATTATGTAACTGCCACAGGACCCAATGAATTGTGGCCCAGGAATACCATATACTTATTCTTTTAATGCCCTCCCCCCACCCCCATCACGTTACTATAACTCCGGCAGATGTGGTTTTGCTGCTGTGAGTATATATTATTGTAAGTCCAGCAACCACCATTGTTTGTGTAAATAGTGTTCAGTCACTTAAGGACTTTCACTTGGACACCAGCTTCGGGATACCAGGACACCCCATGCAGGTGGCGTGCAAGGAAGGCAGCCCGAGCACCCATAAGGCCCAGCCTCAGCGCCGCCGCTTCCTGCCCCAGCCAACAAATCGGGGACCTCCGCACCTGTCCTGCCTTCATCCGGCCACCAGGTGGCGACGAACGCCATCCCAAAGCTCCCTTCAACCCTCTGCCGTTCGTCGTTAATAGCGTCTCTATGATTACCTCTGGCAGCCTGCGCAACCCGGAAGCCGCGCTAGCGGAGGACGAGTGCTTCCGGGCTGGAGCGAGGTGACCTACGCTGCTGGGGGAACCGCGGCGGCTGTGACCATGGGGGCCCACCTGGCCCGGCGGTACCTGGGCGATGCCTCGGTGGAGCCTGACCCCCTGCAGATGCCCACCTTCCCGCCCGACTACGGCTTTCCCGAGCGCAAGGAGCGCGGTGAGGCCCAGTGCGCAGGCGCGGCCCCCAGACGCGGGACCCCCGAGCCGTAGGGTCAGTCGGGCTGGGCTCGAGCCTCGTGCACTTGTCTCCAGGCTCCGCCGCAGCCTTGACCCGAAAGAGCCCAGAGGCACTGTCCCTGCCTGGGTGGGGGATGCGAGGGCACGGCCGCGGGGGCCCAACCGCAGTTGCTTTTTTTTAATGTGATAAAAATCCCACATTGGATCACATCCCAAGTTGGGATACAGCTGCTCTGTCTTCAGAGCCTCGTGGTGCGAACTGTGGAACCAGACAGGTCTGGGGGCAAGAGTCTGAGGGGTCAAGGAAGGCTTCCAGGAGGTGGAGACCGGGAGGGGGTCGAATAAGAGTTAACCCGGCCGAGAGGGCCGAACCTTCTAAGCAGGGAGGGACGGAGTCAGGTGAGCTTTGCCAAAATGACGCGCTGAGTGAGCAGTGTATGGAGGCGGAGACGGCAGGGGGTTGGAGGGAGCCTTGGGATGGGGTGCTATAATCACACTCTCCGCCAACCCCGCCCCCACTGCCCATCACACGTCGCTTTCCCCACAGCTAGTTCTGCAAACACCTACAGCCTGTTTCCTTTTCGTGGTTGGCTAACCCATAACCTTGGTGACGCCCTGCTCGCCTCTCCTTGACTCCTGCCCTGAGCTGCTGCAGAGGACAGGAGAAAGACATCCCACCTGGTCACTCTTCCTAAGGTCCAGCCTTCCTGTTACACTTGGCTAGTCCTTCACACTCCCTCCCTCCCCAGATTCCACCACCTTCTTCCTCCCCCTTTTGGCATCCTTTGTTATTTATTCTTAATGCAGCCAGAAAATAGCTCTTACGGGTATCTGGCACCCCCCTCTTCCTACTCAACCCCAGACCCTGGCTGCCCTCCTGTTACTCTAAACCTGTGTCCCTGCCCTCCTTGCCCTCCGCTCATCCACCCCAGGGCGCTTCTCCATTCACCTCTCTTGCAGCTTCAATGGCCCCCATGCATGTGCAAGGAGAACTTTCTCTACCCTTTTAAAAATCACCTCCTGGGACTATACCTGTCTCACCTCCTTTTAGGTGTACACAAGGAGGCCGACCACACAGCCTGTTCTCGGCAAGTTGCTTTTGTATGCAATTAATTGATCGCAAGAGCACCAATCCTGGACCAAGCCCAAACTGGGCACTGCAGATTCACCAGGCTGCCTTCAGGGAGCTTGTAGTGGGGAACAGCAGGGTGCCGGCGGCGGAACTTGGGGAGGCATCAAGGTTTCTGGTGATGGCCCGTTGCTCCCTTCCTTGGGCACTGTGGATCTCCCCTGCACACATACATCCCACCTCACCAGCAGCTCCTTCACTGATCCCCTCCCCTTATATATGTTGGGGTGCCTCAGGCCATAGACCTCTCCAGTCTCTACACACTGTCAAGGGAACCTGGTAGGCTGCCTGCTTACATGCCTGCCAGCTGCCAAGTGGGACTCCAATTTGCAGCCAAGCCCTCAGGCCACCACCACCACCCCCCAACTCAACTGGACTGATGATCCCCCTGCAGCCTGCCTGCTGTGCACCAGTTTTAACACACATCCCACACCCGTCAGCTCTAAGCCATGTACGAATACATATCTCACATGAAAGGCACTCTGCTCACATGATAGGTTTCATGCCGGCCCACTAACCATAAGGTTGGCTGTTTAAACCCAACAACCCTCCAAGGGAGGAGGACACCTTCCACTTCTGTCAAGATCTACAGCCCTGGAAACGCACAGGAGCATTTCTATCCTGACCTATAGGGTCACTGAAAGAATGAGCTCAATCTCCCTAGGTGTAGTGCGGTGTTTGCACACACACACCCCACCCCCACCCCGGCACGCCATCCCCTCCTGTCCTGGTAACACAGCTCTGCTCTGCTCAAGGTTTTTCTTGCAGTAACACTCTCCCCAGGCAGTCTGCAGGGTCTCTCCAGTGGGGCCGGCTGCATCATTTCATATCAGTGTCCTCAGCTGGCAGCTTCCTTCCCCAGTAATTAACGCCGCCAGGTCCCACGTTCTCCGTGACCCCTCTGTCAACACTCCCAAGTCACTCTCCCTCGCTTACTTTCCTCCCAAGATGCAGTCCGGATACTGCCCACGCCATACCCCCTATACCCTGCACACAGGTGTGTGGCTGCTGGACTGCCTGACACAAGAGCAGGTGGACCGGGGCAGGTGGTGGGCACACAGCATGCAACTCAGAAGTGGTGGGCAAAGGCACCAAACCATGAACGGCCAAGGGGAGGCACACACTTGCAGTTGTCAGGGCGGTACGGTCCTGACATCGAGGGTGGCAAATGAGAAGTGTGTTTGGCAGCGGGAGGGGGAGCTATTAGAGAGGCCAGAGGCTGAGTGGGGTCTCTGGCCAGACCGTCATCCCTGGGCTTCCAGTGGTTGTCCTGGGCGGGGCTTACTGGACTCTTGCTGTAGCGGGCCTGTGGAGCTGGCCCAATACACAGGTGAGGAAGGCAATGCTGAGGTACAAAGTGATGTGCCAGGTCCACGCCCTACGCCGTGCCTGGTGCCCCCAGAGAGGCCGTGGGAGATCATGCAGAGCCCAGTTCTCTGGGGCGACCTGTGACCCAAGACAAGGACGACTTTGTAAAGCAGCACACAACCCCGATTCACCAGACCTCGCCAAGGGACACCCCTGAGTGGGTTCCTGGGGCCCACTGAGCACCAACACCCCTTGCCTGCTCCCGCAGAGATGGTGGCCACGCAGCAGCAGATGCAGGACGCACAGCTAATGCTGCACCAGCGGGACTACTGCGCCCACCACCTCATAAGACTGCTCAAGTGTAAACGTGACAGCTTCCCCAACATCCTGGGCTGCAAGCACGAGCAGCACGCCTGGGACTACTGCGAGCACCTTGAGTGAGTGCCGACCCACCCACCCGCTTCCCGACCCACCCACCCCTGCCCCGCAAGCCTGACCACCCTTCTTTCTTCACCCCTAGCTATGTGAGCCGCATGAAGGAGTTTGAGCGGGAGCGGCGGCTGCTGAAGCGGAAGCAGCGACGGGAAAAGAGGGAGGCGGCCACAGCCAGAGGACAAGGGGAGGGGGAAGTGGCCCCCGAAGTGGCCCTGTAGGGACCTGTGGACCAGTCAAATAAAGATCTCTAGATCTTACCCCCTAGTGCTGCCTGGCTGTGTGGTAGTGTCCAGGGTAGGAAGGGCAGTATGGTAGTGCCCACCCGCCCCCAAAGAAAACACGCTGCGCCCATGTCCAGCTGGCAGGTGGGTTTTATTCCAGGTGCTGGAAAGCTGTGACCACCCCAGTCCCTCGCCAGTATAACAGTGAGGTGGGGGGACAAGGGTCTGGCTGGAACCAAGGCTGGGGCAGCGGCAGGCTCAGAGCAGGAAGGGGACGATTGGCGAGCGCAGGGGCGGGTAGTTGTGGAACTCCTTCAGGTAGCTTCTGTGCTTGCCCTTGGCCCAGATGGTCATCTGGATGAAGCCCACCAGGGAGAAGAGAGCCACTGTGGGAGCAGAGCAAGGTTGTCAAGTTGTGGGGGGTGGGGACAGTCAAGAGGCAGGCGGGTGCTGTAAGGGAGGGGCTGGCTCACCTGGGAGACACTGGGTCATGATGGTGAAGCCAATCCAGGAGCCGACCTATGGTGGGGCCATCAGGGAGGGTGAGTGTGGTGGGGTAGGGACACGGGGGTACAAGCAGGGAATGTCCCTGCCCGGGCCTGCTGCTGGGGCTGGACCCTCCACATGAGAGCTGGGAAACCCTCACCTCGTAAGTGTAGTTGGGGCAGGACACCAGCAGGAAGAGCCACGTGAACGGATTCTTGGTGGGGAAGGGGATCTTCCTGGCCTTGGACCCTGGTGGGAAGGACCCAGATGAGTGAGGACCAGCCTGGCCCCCACCCCAACCTGTCCCCCGATGACTACCCACCTGCTGGCCGCAAGTTCCGCAGGGCCATGTGGATGGAGAAGTTGCCAAGTTGGCAGATCTGTAGGCAGAGCAGGCACGAGCTCAGAGCTGATCCCCGTCCAGCCCCAGGTCCTCCCAGCCTTCATGCCTGGGCCCCAGCTGTCTTACCACAAAGATGGCAAGTGCCAGCTTCACCTGCTGTGCTCCGTGGGCTGCAGAGGAAGCAGAAGGGGGCCATGAGAGGGGGCTGGGCCCAGGCGAGGGCAAGGCTGGTGGGGGCGGTGTAAAGCCACTTACTGGGCGGCGTGTAGAGAGGGTGGTTAATGTAATAGGCCATCCAGGCCGCGAAGCCCCAGTAGTACGTGCAATTCTGAAAGACAGCGGGCATGGCACAGGTGGGCCTAGGCCTCCGGGGGCGGAGCCCCAGCAGGGATAAGGGGCAGGGCCACAGAGCCGTGCTCACCTTGAAGATGTTGCGGAGGGGCATGGTGCCGTGCGAGAAGCGGTGCACAAAGATCGTCTCCAGCAGACGTTTCACGTAGTGGAATGAGTGGCAGATACAGGCGAGGCTGCGTGGGGTGCAGCAGGCTCAGCAGGGCCCATTGGGCCACCCTAATGCACCCCCCACCAAGGGCCCGCAGTGCCCCACTCACTGCACCACTGTGTGCCGGCTGGACGTGAAGTCATATTTGTGGCCGTAGATGAAGGGCACCCGGAAGTAGAAGAGCAGGTAGATGAAGAGGGGCCCTGCATACTCTGTCAGGAACACCTGTGGTAGGCAGACCAGGTGAGTTGTCCCAACAGGGCAAAGGGGGGAGGGGTGCAGGAATGGGGGGCCCCACCCGGACTCACCGTCACCCAGCTGATCTGGGCCCCGAGGTCCCGGAAGTAGAGCGTGGCCGTGGTGCCCACAGGCAGCTTCTGTAGAACATCCTCATCCTTCAGGGACTTACCCTCTGCAAAGAAGCAAGTGGCTCAGGGCTGCCCAAGTCCTCCCCCACTCCTGGAGGCGGCGGGGCGGGGCGGGGCAGCTGTACTCACTGGGGTCCAGGCGGAGGGACTGGCGGGCAGGGTACCACTGCGGATCTGTGGGGACAGCCAGTGCCAGTTACAGCATCCACCAGGCCACAGCCCAGCTGCCCTCTGGTCCTGGCTCCCAGCTCCCCCACCCGCCCACTCTGGGCAAGGTCTGAGGCCTGTGTGGTCCCAGGACACAAGCCCGCAAAGCGTGGAGAGCAGGGAGCCCAGCAGGGCGTTCCTGCTGGCAGCCACACAGAACGGTCGACCGCCTGGTGAGCCCTACAAAGCCAGCGATGTTGGGGCAGCACGGCCACCTTGACTTACGGCTCTTGGTGAAAAGGTTCTTGATCTCTGCGATGGTGGCGTGGGGTTCCACCTGGGGAAGCACAGGCCACAGGGCCCTCAGCCAGGGCCCCTCCTGGCCAGGGCTAAAGGCCTAAGCAGCCAACAGTTCAGGGGGTGGTCACTGTGTGGTCAGGGCCTGGGATGCGACAGGAGCAGCTGAGGGCCCTGCCAGGAAGTGAGCAGGCAAGGGGTCTGGGGGCTCCATTCCCACCCAGGCGGTGACATTCTGGCTCGGCCAGCTGGTTTAGTAGTGCTCAACCTTGCCTGTCCCCTCCTCTCCACCACACCTAAAATGCCCACAAGGAAGCCCACAGTCCAGTCTTCCCCACAGACCTCCTTGGGAGGACCCAAGCCCCATCCCCAGGCCTGCCCGAGGCAGCTCCTTCCCAGGCCGCAAAGCTCTGTAGGGTCCCTCCCCCTCACTGCTGTCACCACCAGACCACCTGGGTGAGGGGCTGCCACAGGTGTCCTGCAGGGGAGTCAGGGGATCTGGAAGGGCTCCCCTGAGCCAGGTGACTGCTCCCCAGTTCTGGCTAAAGCCACAGGAGGGAAGTGGGGTCCCGGATCCCCGTCCTACCTTGTCCAGGAAGCACAGCTTCTCCCGTGTCTTCCCGTCCAGGATCTCCACCTCGAAAAAGAGAACAGCCTTTTTAGGTTTCTTGGCTGCCTTGGGGGGTGCGGGCCAGGGGAAGCAATTGAGGCCTGGGGGGAGCCCCTGGCTGGCCTCTCGGGGCACCAAATTCATGTCCATGCCCCCCTCAGCACTGGCACCAGCCCTGCCTGTTCCACTCCACACCCGCCGCAACCAGTGACCTAGCTGCCGCCCGTCGGCCCCCACCACAGACCTCCCCACTGGACGCAGTACGGGCCAGCGGCCGATCAAATTCTGCCTCAGTGCTGGAAGGGAGCCCGGGCCACCCTGCACAACCAACCTCCCTGCCAGCTGTAACCTGAGTGGCACTACCACCTCAGCCCGGCTAAATATAAAACCAGCCCAGACTGAGCCCCGAGGGGCTGTGCCACAGGCCTCCGCTGGGGGCTCCCGGGGCCAGGCCACCCACAGAGAAGCTGCTAGGGGGGTTCGCCCTTGGCACCAACCAGGGCCCAGGGCCCACACCAGGTCCAAGGGGCTGCCCAGGCCAGGGGGAGGGGACAGGAAGACAGCCACTGGGCCTGGAGAAAGCCCAGCTATTTTGAGAATCCGCGAGATACATCATCCGTTTCCCCTCCTGAGCTCTAAGAGCCACTCTGGATTACTCTGCTGGTGCATCTGTGTTCCCAGGGAGGTGCTAGATTCCTGTGTCATTGGTGCACAGCGCTCCAGTAAAGCAGAAGCAGGAGCCGACAGGCACCCGGCAGAGCTGAGGTCTCCATCCCTGTGCAGCAGCCACCCCACAGCCCACTCAGCCCGTTCCTCTCCAGGTCCCCCCTCAGGCTGGTTCCAGGGTGGGTTTCCAGATGGGTGGGCCCAGCATCACACCCAGCTCCAGGCCTGAAGGTCAGGTCCCAAAGGCCTGAGGACCACAGCAGGCTCCTGGTAGGGATGGGCTATGCAGGCAGGCCCAGATTTGCTCCCCAGCTGTCCAGCAGTAGCTGGTGACCATTCTCACTCATAGGACTCTGAGTGAGCCCTTGGGCAGACTGCCCACCCTGAAAGGGGCTGGGCTAAACAGCTAAACACAAACACGCGCACACGCGCAGGCGTGCATACATGGGGTTGGCAGTGGAAGGTGCCGCCTCCTGTGAGCGGGTTGTGTGGTGGCAGCAGAGACTTGGTGGGGTACTCAGTAGCTGCCAGCTGTCAGGACAGGTGCAGGGAGGCCCCATGGGCACCACGGAACGGCCCCTGCCACAAGGCAAGCATGGCTAGGATCAGGTCTCAGCTCCCCTGCGGGTCACCAGGTTCCTGCCTGGGCATGGTGTGTCTGCCCATGGGCAGCCATGAGACAAGCAGGTCATGCCAGGAACAGGCTCTGCCAGCCAAGAAGCCCTCAGGACACCACCTACCAACCCCCATTTGAGAGCCCACTGCCACCTGACTGCCGGGGCAGGGGCCCTGCGTGCTCAGCCCCTCTGAGCTGCAGGGTAACGGGGCTGGGCAGAGAGTGGGCCCATGAAGGGAACCTGCAGGCCCCAGCAATGGGGCTTGTGGGTGAGGGCAAGGGTGCAGGCAAAGGAGCTGGAAAGGGGTTGGAACAGCAGCCCTGGGCACCTGGGACTGCAGGTCTAATAATAGCCCCTGGGCCCGGTGGGCAGTACCCACACTTTCAGAGCCCATGTGGCCCACAGGCCGGCACCACCAGCTCCACTGCTGGGAGTGGAGCCTCAAGTTCCTGCTGAACCACTCAACAGCTTAAAATACAACCGCCCTGCCCGCCAGCTGCCGGGGGGAGGGGTGAAACTCTATCCTCCCCCCTCTCCCCCAGCCCAGACACCAGCCCAGGGTCCATTGGGGGCCAGGCTGCTGGGAAAGGGAGCTGCAGCAAGGGCCGGGAGGGGGCCAGAGTCAGACAGCGCCCAGCCTGAGGAGGAGCCGCCCGGGGCCCCAGGAGGTAAGGTGGCCACAGAGCCAGCACCCAGGGATCCAGTCTGCTCCTTCCCTTTTTCTGCCCCAGAGCCCCTGGACCCAGCCGCCTTCTACTCCCACAGACTAGCAAGCTGGGGCCTCATGGTCCATAGGGCCTCAGTCTGATCTTTTTACAAGCTCCTAAGTGCAGGGCATTAATTCCAAATAAACGGTTAAGAAAAAAGGTTCTGGAACAGAGAACAGCAGGTCTCCATCAGGCCCATCACCGGAGACCCTGAGGTGGTGGGAGGGGGGACATCTCATGGGCTCCATGCCACCTCACCTGAGGAGGGCTGGGGTCAGAGGGTGCCAGCGGCAGGGCAGGCAGTGGACTCAGATCCTGAACCTGGACCTGGGGAGTGGGTGGGCTGTGGGCAGGCAGCAGTGACAGGCCTTCCTGGGGGTGGGGAGGTCCCCACAGAAGGGAAGAGGGACAAGGGGTAGGTACTATGCTCCCACAACTGGGGGAGAGGGGGGCCACTGAGCATTTTCCATCGGCACTGTGAGGGCAAGCGGGGTTGGTCATCTACCCAAGGTGTGTCCCAGTGGCCTGAGGGACACAATGGGCAAGCAGAGGACAAGGACATACAGGCGTCCTGGGCTGGGGCATGGGCGGGTGGCCTGTGATGACAGTGCCACTAGCCGGGAAGGAATTCTCCACCCAAGGCCTGAGATTCCAGGGCCCAGCCAACAGCAACTCGTGGTAGCATGAGGTCAGACTAGGGCCTGGAGCCAGGGGGCGGGTGGTGCCCCAGCCCACCCACAGAAGGGGTTCAGGGCCAATGACTGTGACCCCTACCTATAGACAGGCCCCCAGCCCAGCAGGTGTAGCTGATAGAGCAAGAGGAGCAGGAGCCCCCACTGACCCCACAAGGGGGCTCCCCTGAGTCCCTTGGGCCCTCGGATGTTCTCTCAGGGAGGCCTCCCTGACCATCTATTCAAAAGAGCGGCTGTGTCCCCAGAGACAGAGCCTGCTCCCGAGTGGAGGTCTGTGTTCTCCCAGTCCCCGTGCTGTGCTCTGGAAACATCTGGGAGGGCACCTGGGCTTGTCTGGCTTCAAAGGGGTTCCACTCCCATCACTACACACACCAGGAGCCTGCTGGTCACACCCATCCCCACTTGTCCCCCAGGCACCTCCCTCTGCACAGCCTGTGTGAGCTAGAGCCAGACCCTCCTAACTCCGTCCTGGGCACCCCTCACCAAGAGAGAACGCAGGCAAACTGGGCCCCAGGGGCTCTAGCTGGGCTGCCGTCCTTCACTGGTAACTCCGCCCCCTGTGGAGGGGCCCCATACTGATGGGCTAAAGCTGCTGGGCCCTCTGAAGCAGCACTCCAGAGCAAGGGCAGGGGGAGGGCCAGTGGCAGACCAACCTCCTAAGCTGCGCTCCCATCCGCCCCCCCCCCTCCCCCCGCTGAGGCCAAAAAGACTGCAGCCCTAGGCAAGTAACCCAACCTCTCTGGGCCTGCTAACCTCTCCCCTGAGTCATGGGTATTCCCGCCTAGTTGACAGGATCGCTCTACGTGCAGATGATGGCAACAAAACTGAGAACGCCTCCTCCTCACCCAACACCTAGTCACCCCTCGTTTTGCATTTACAACAACAGTAAAAGCTCTAACATTCTGCACATTAATGACATTATGTCTGGCAGCCAGGGTGACCCTGGCTGTGATGGCTAAGGTTTAGGGACCCACTGGCTGGGACATGCATGAATCGTGGTGGGTGGGCAGCCGTGCAAGGAAGCTGTTTGGCAGCTATGTAACGATAGTCATCCTACGCTTGGTGATCTGATGTGGCCATCCTCGGTAGGAATGTTCACGCTGGTTTTTACATAACCAGCTGGTGGGTGTAGGGTACATCGCTGCCATCAAGGCTGCCATCAAGCGGATTCCAACTCACAGCAACCCCACGGGTGTAGGAGGTGAGGGCCCTGGGTACAGCAGAAACCAACACTATTAAGAATAAGTGTTATCTGGCAAACACTAGCAGAACAGCATGGGGGGAAGGGGGCACTGGCTGAGCACTCATGTCCTTCCCTAAATCCTGACTATGGCCATGAAAAGGTGCCCATCCACAAGGCACAAGGCCAGAGAGCAGGAGGAACTGTGCAGCCCTTTCCCCACCTGCCCCAGGGCGCTGCTCAGGAGCTCTAACAGTCTACAGCTCTGCTGCCAGACAGAGGGCCGACACACACCCCTGCCCCCAATCACTCCACGTGTGCACCGGGTGTGGTCAACCTCCATCCAGGCCTGCAAAGCTCTCTGCTGCCACCTTGTGGCCGTAGCTGCCTTCCGTAGTTGGAAGAGAGCCTGCAGCCGCCTGCCTCCCAGGGAAGGCCAGGTCCCAAAGGCTGCTGGAGAGGGGGCTCAGGTGCAGGGTGGGATGGAGAAGGACAGTCTGTCAAGGTCAGTCCTTCAGGCACTGCTCCAGGTGTGGGGACACAGCAGGGAACAAAAGAACCCATTGGCAACGTCGAGGGTACAAGCCACATGCATACCTCGGGGAAGCCAATTTCAGACAGTACAAAGGCCCTGATGCTGGACTGTGCCTGACGAGACCCTGGTAGCACTGTCAGTAAGCACTGGGCTGCTGACTGCAGAGTTGGTGGTTCAACCCCACCCGCCAATCCACAGGAGAAAACTTGAGGCTATCCGTTCCCGTAACAATTCACAAAGACTCAATCGATGGCAGTGGGAGTTGGTAAGAGACAAAGGGAGGTGGGAGGAGGTGACAGGGCAGGTTGTGCAGGGCACATGAGCCACAGGGGGGGCTTGGGCTTTTTACCCCAAGTGACATGAGGAATGGGGGCAGGTTGTGAGCAGGAAGGTGCCCTCTGCATCAGGGAGCTGGCTGCACTGGTGCAGAGGCGGGCGACAGGGCTGGACTAGGTGGGGTCAGTGAAGGGGTGAGACTGAGCAGACAGGGAAGCTGGCAGTGACGTGACCCTGCTGATGGTTCACAGTGCACCGGGTGCTCTGGTGGGAGAGGGCTGAGCCAAGCAGGAGGCCGTGTCTAGTAGGCTCCGGGCTGGAGGAGCTGACACTGGGGGGGATGGTCGGGCAGCCACTGCACACAGGTCCAGCACGGTGGCCAGGAGCCTGGTGAGGGCAGGGACAATCACTGCCCCCTTCCTGCTCCAGCCATAACTTTTCCCACAGCTGCCAGGGCGGCCCCACTCAGAGGAGGAAGTAGTGGTACCCGGCAAGACACAGGCTCTGGTCAGCTAGCTGTACATCCAGCCACAAATGCGAAGGCAAGGCCTTCCTCCTTCTCCCCCTCCCTCCTGCTCCAGCAGGCACCTGGCACGACCCCGAGGGTGCCTACTCAGGCCTGCAGGGAAAGTGCGTGCAACCCGTGGATACAAGTCCCGCGGGGCAACCAAGGAGCCCAGGCAAAATGCAAAAGACCCAACAAACCCCCAGTCAGCCAGCCTTTGGCCAACTCCCTGCCCCACCCGTCAATCAGCCCCCAGCCAGCCTGGCCTGGCGGGCAGTATGGCTCCCCGGACCAAGCACTGCTTGACCACATCCTCCCTTCCACTTTCCAGAAATACCCAGTCACACTGCCAAAGCCAGGGTAGCTGAAAAGACCTTGGGTTCAGCTGCCAGGAAGCCAGCACAGGCTACACCTGCTCAGCCAGCAACCCCTCCCTCCCACGGGTGGCAGCTCCACTCTGACCTCCTTTCTCCAAGAGGTCCAGAGAATAGCTGCAGCCTCTAGGAGCTTGGGAGGGTCGGGGTCCTTTGGCGTGCCCACACCAGGCTGCTCCGCCTGCTGGTAGGAGGCAGATAGGGTGCGGGGTTCAGAGGCAGTGAGGCAGGGACCTGGAGCGCCTGGTACCGCTGTCCCTGCTAGCGGAGCCCTGTGCTCAGTGGGCCCAGACCATCAGGCACCTGTGTGTTATGACCACAGAAGACTGAAGATGGCGGGGGCACTGGGCAAACCCAGAGGGGCCAGGAGTAAGCCTCCAAAGCTCACATACTCCAGGACGCTGGGGCAGAACCCTCAGAACTGCATGGTTGAGATAGGAGGGAGGGCAGAGCTTTCCCTGACACTGGCTTTGACCTCGCCCGGCCCAGGACCCCTGGATGACAGTCAAGACCTGACCCTGCCCTTCAAGGCCCCGAGTCGGGCCAAGCTGACCAGCGGAACAAGAGGAGCGTGTGCAGCCACTGCCCCAAGTGAGGAGGCCCGACCCCCAGAGGCAGGTGAGTCCCTACCAGGAGCTCGCCCTGGATCACCCAGGAGCAGGTACCTAGGCCTGTCCTCGACAGGAGCTATCTCCTGAATGACCACGAGTCCCCTTTTTATGGATGAGGAAGCCGAGGCTCGCTCACTCGCCCCTTTAGATGCTGGCTGAGCACACTTAAGAGAGCACTAGGAAGGGCCCCAGGGACCCAGGTGTGGAAGGAGACAGACATCCCTGCCTGTGTGAAGACGATTCAGTAACACCAGAGCATACTGGTAAGTGCCACGTGCCACAAAGAAAAGCCAGCAGGAAAGGGAACAGGAAGTGGCCAGGGCAGGGTGTGTAGGCGCACACCGAGTGACCCAGTGGACCTCCTGCCAGGCCCCGCAGGGAGTGAAGCGAAGAGCTGGGGGCAGGTAGGCAGCTGGGGAGAGCATTCCAGGCAGGCCCTGGGGTGAGGACAAGCGTGCACTCAAGCAATAATGAGAAGGCTGGAGCCGAGTGAGTGAGAGGGGGCAGAGAGGCTACAGGGGGGTGCATGCAGGGTACTGGGAGCACTTTCGTTTCCACTCTGGATGTGCTGGGAGCCAAGGAAACTCCTGAACTGTGCAGGGTGGGGACCACCTGGGCTTGTGAAAAGGTCCCTCTGGACTGTGAATAAGGTGGAACCAGGGATGAGCCTGGTGGCACAATGGTTACACATTGGGGTGCTAACCTCAAGGTCAGCAGTTCTAAACCACCAGCTGCTCCAACGAAGAAAGCAGGGGCTTTCTACTCCTGTAAAGAGTTACTGTCTGGGAAACCCACGGGGGCAGTTCTACACTGTCCTACAGGGTGGCTATGAGTCGGCATCGATTCAACGGCAGTGAGATTGGTTTTCTGATTTTGGAAGGAGCCCAGGAAGTGCTGTGGCAGTAATTCTTTTGGCATAAGGGTGGCTTAGACGAGGGCCCACAAGCCCACTGTACTCCTCCGTCGCCCACTGTTACACTCCTGGCAAGCTAAGAAGGGGCTCTTATAAATAAAAAAAGGAAGAAGTCAAAAGGAGACTAACACCAGGGGGCTTCAAGAAACCCATGGGAAAACGCTATTATTCCTTCATCCCGTTTTTCCACCAGCTTTTTGAAGCCCTCATGATGCCATGCGGTGAACGCAATGCCAATGTGGGTGTTGGTAGTTAGGTCTTCCTGGTGCACGGCCACACTCCCTGGCCGACAGAGCGAGCTTCCACGGCTGCCTTCCAACTTGACTGGCAGAGCTGAGCTGCTGCCACAGACCCATGTGGCCCGTCTTTTCTCAGGACAGAACTGCGATAAAACCTGAAGACAACATCACTGCCAGCCTGTCCTCGTTAGCCTTCCTTGGGCGGCTATCCAGTTGGCTGACCCCCAGCGGCCCCACGTGGGGAGGCTACAAATGCGCTCCACTGGGTTTGCAAGGCTGTGGAAGCCGTGGAGCTTGTGGAAGCCACCTGCAAGGCCTTACCTCTGAGGGAAGCTCGACACGTTGGCTGCCGTGCCGTGCCCCTCGTTTGCCAAGCCCTGGCTGGCCACAAGGGCTGGCAGTGAAGGTGTTAAGTCCAGAGGACTTTAAAGCTGAGCTCAGGATTTGCTGACTCTGGGCAAGAGGTGTGAGGGAAAGGGCCCTGAATAGTTTGGGGGCTATTGGCTGGGAGGCTGCAGGAACCACCACTAACTGGGGACAGGAAACCTCAGGTTTGGGGAGAAAGAGCCCACCATTAGTTTCATTAAAATAATGAGAGACCCACTCCCTCACCCTGCCCGCACTCCTGTAGGGGCTGAACACAGAGATGAGCACATGGCTTTTGATTCCAGTTCTTCTAAAGCAGGGTGGGGACACGTCTGGCCCTGGAAATCAATACCAGCTAACATCACACAGCCCTCAGAGAAGCCATTCCAGCCATTCCAGTCTCAAACCTGCCATGTCGGTTCCAACTCACAGTGACTCCATGGGACAAAAGAGAGTTGCCCCGATGGATGTCTGAGGCTGTAAGCCTTTACGGGAGTGGAAAGCCTCATCTTTCTCCCAAGGAACAGCTGATGGTTTCAAACTGCTGACCTTGTGCTTAGCAGCCCAAGGCACAACCCACTACACCACCAGGGCCCCATCACATTAGGGGTGAGTTAATCAAATGTTTGATCGGTATGGCCTGAGAATAATGTTAGAAACATCCAAGTGGCCCTTGGCAGAAAAAAGGTTCCCCACCCCTGCTCTCATGGAATTTGGGAAATCCTCTGTACTTCCCGCCGACATGTTTAAGTGGACTTATTTTTTGCACCTGAGCTTAATTGCTGCCAGAGACTTTCTGGCCCCTGCAAGTTGATTTAATATGAACATGCATTCCCATTAACCATTGTGTCAAGCCAGTTCCGGCTCGTAGCGATCCTCTAGGACAGAGAACTGCCCCCCGGGCTTTCCAAGGGGATATACTCTTCGTGGAAATAGCCGGCCACGTCTTTCTGCCATGAAGTGGCTAGTGCACTGAAATCACTGACCTCTCCGTTCGACGTGGAGCATGCGAGTCACCATTCTTGCTACCAGGGCACCTTCAAGTATTTAACGTCATGGTTAGGTGCCATCCAGTCGGCTCTGACTCACAGCAAGAGACCCTCCGTCCAACAGAACACAGCACTGCCTGGGCCAGCAGCCATCCTCCGTGGTGGCTCAGCTTACGCCCACTGCTGCCACTCCTGTCAATTCATCTCACTGAGGGTATCCTCTTGCGCTGCCCCTCTGCTTTACCCAGCAGGATGGCCTTCTCTAGGAACTGGTCTCTGCGGACCACATGTTCACAGTTCGCGGCAGCCTCACCACCTTTGCTTCGAAGGATCGTTCTGGCTGTACTTTTTCCAAGGCAGATTTGTTCATTCTAGTGGCCAAACCAAAAAACCAAACTCAACGCCATCAAGTCAATGCCGACTTATAGCAACCCCAGAGGGCAGGGTAGACAGCCCCTGTGAGTTTCTGAGACTGTAACCCTTCATGGGAGTGGACAGCCCCGTTTTGGGTTGGGTTTTTTCCCCCTATCTGGTGGTTTCAAACCACTACACCATCAGGGCTCCTATTCTTCTGGAAATCCTTGGCATATTCCATATCCTCTGTCAACACCCTAATTCAGGGCACCAATGTTTCCTCAGTTTTCCTT